TACGCTTTCTGGTGGAACTGTTTAAAGGGCAGGCCTGATGCGCTTCAAATAACTAGTTGCCTTCCGGACCACACGACAGTTATCTAACGATAGCAATTTCACGGTCTTCCACCTACCCACATCAGCGTGTCTTACCACATTTTAATGAACTCGCACTAATACAATACAGATAATTTGAAGATACATTCAGGCAACGCTATGTTTGAGTGTCACGTACTTTAACATATTAAGTTTTAGAAGCCAACTCTTCTGCCAAGTACTCGTTTTTTTCATAGTCGATTGCAACTTTATTCGTATTAGCAACACAAGTGACTTTATTCATACTTGAGTATCATCGTGAACTTGATAGCTGTACGATCTAGCGTACTTGTGCTCTCCGTCAAAGAAATCAGGAACGGCATTAAACATGGAAAGCAACCTAGTGGAAAACTATATCGAACCATTATTTATTCAGACGTAATCTGTCTGTCTGTCCGTCAGTCTGTAATCTACAGTACAGTTAGCTTTAAAACCATCTGAACATTCCACCTTGGATTATTATTCCCCAAGTATTTTTCATTAGATGTCGGTTCAATTCGTTATATAAGCACTACGGGAAGATGAAAGTGCAGCATTTACAGAGTTTTCCTTGTCTTCAGCCTTTAATCGTTCCCCGTGAGAGTAAATAACACTCGTGAATGCAAAAGTCCTCGACAAAGGCCATGCTCAACATTACACAGTCGATTGCTTTCTTCTAGGAGCGGAATTAGACGTCCTATGTTAATACATTTCAACATTTTGCACAATATGCATGTGCAGCTCATTGCACCGTAGAGACTCGGCGTTCATCCCTAATCCCGCAACATAGATGGAAGCATAAGCGCAGTCTTCCGTTTTTCTACGAGTCCACCTTCGTCGAAAGACATCTAAGGTATGACGGTTGGGTCATCGGTTTTGATGATGACCACCGCGTGCGCCAACATTAGGTGGCGTGGAAAGGGTCCTTTGTGTCTTAATAAGTTTATTGCGGTGGTATATTTACGCTGAATTTACTGTAATCGCCCCTGTTCCCCAAGTGGAAATGATTTCATAGCCAATCCAGGTAGGGATAGGCGAGAGACTTTGCAGGCAGCTGGCGAGACGCCACTGACCCTAAACTTGCAAGCACATTCCGCTCGTATCCCATGGAGTAGATGTACCATAGAGGCCGCATTATGAAAGAGCAACTGACTTCACATACACGCATACTGGTTTGGCTGTACGAATCCTTGGCAAGACTGACTTTAGAGGTATTTTTTGCCTTTGGATTATAACAAAAATCTACTTCTACCTTTTCAGTAACCCGACTTTCCCTTTATTCCTTTGAATTCCACCAATGGGAACTCGAATCTCCATTTTCCTTAAATTACGCCCTCAATCGGCATCTGTAACCTGCGCAACATGAGAATGTGTTGGTATAATTTTATTCTATTTAGTGTATTGAAACGAATATATTTTTTTAATTTATAATTTATGATCTCTTCCACCACAATTAGATATTAGTTTACGCTC